GTTTGGGACTTTCACTGGAGTTTAGGGCTTTAGGTTTAGGGTTTAGGACTTTAGGGTTTGGGGCTTTGGGGTTCAGGACTTTAGGGCTTTAGGGTTTAGGACCTTAGGGTTCAGGACTCTTGGGTTTCGGACTTTAGGATTTAGGGTTTAGGGTTTAGGGTTTAGGGTTTAGGGTTTAGGGTACGGTTGAGGGTCGTTGCAGTAGCAGCAGTAGTGGGAAGCAGCACTGCCATGCGAGAATACTAGTGCTTGCAACAGGTGTCTGATTCGGAGGATGCAAGTTACAGTCACCGTAGCAGTATGGTTTAGGTTTTAGGGTTTAGGGTTTAGGGAAGGACAGCAAAGATAGAACAAACCAGCCATATTGAGAGGTGCGGCAGCAAAGATGGAAGCCATGCAGCATATTTCTAGTGGTGTGATGGCCCAGCGCACTCTGGACTTCTCTCATCTTACCTAAACAATAAACACCGAACCCAATTCCCTGAACCTTGTTTAATGGGGGCTTCCGAAAATAGGGGACCCTAATATAGTACCCTAAATAGTAGGATCCTTATTATAAGGACCCCAAAATAAGGTACCCTAATTTTCGGAGACTCCCAAATATGTTAGACCCGGACCTCATCTCAGGTGGTACCATACCGGGCGGTGTAGTGAGGCGGAGAGATGGAAGACTCCGCACAACCGCCCGCTGAAAAGTAGCTGTCGTCACCAAGGGTTTAGGGTTTAGGGCGTTTGGGTGTTTAGAGTTTAGGGCGCCAGAGAGCTTTTGCCTTGTGACCATCTGATGAAGAGCTGCTTTCCTCAGCCCTGGCCCCAAGACTGCTCACAGCTTTCATGAGTTTTGTGGTTTTGGGTTCAACTCAGAAAAGGACACGGGCATTTCTTCAGCACCTTGTTCCCTAAACCCTAAACTCAGAGGATCAGGCATTCACCGGGCAACTTCCCCCGAAGCCAAGATGTTGCAGCCCCGTGTCAGTGGAGCTGTCGGGCCTTTGGCCCGAGTCGCTGGGTCTATCAGTAGTACGCTTTTCCCCATGTTTTTTTTCGGTTTCGGGTTTTAGGGCTTCGGGTTTAGGGTCTCCTTATTAAAGCCGACTAGCAGCCATTAGGAGAAAGGGTACCCTTGTTGTTAAGGGGGCCTAAACCTTCAACGGAACCCTAAGAATCGAAATATTCGAAACACATCACATCAACCCCTGATTTATACTGTCATTTCGAATATTTCGATTTAAAGGGAGTTCTGTTTTGGAACCGTGTAGTACCCTTAAGGGTAAGGTTCCTTTTAAGGGTTCACTTGACTGAAGGGTTCCCCTCAACGGGTTCCCCTCTAGAGGGCTAGTGGTTTAGGGTTTAGGGTTTAGGGTTTAGGGTTTAGGGTTTAGGACCCTGACCTTTAAACCCTGACCTTTAAACCCTGAGCCCTAAATCGTAAACCCTGAACGATAAGCCCTAAACCCCGAACCCGTAAACCCTAAGCCCTAAACGCAGAAACAGAAGAACTTGACAAGAAGTCAAACCCTAAACCCTGGGCTTACCCATAGGCCCCATAGCAGTTCCTTTTGGGGATTCCCTAATAGGATCCTAAATAAGAACCCCCAAAAGGAACTACT